CTTTGGGGGTCTTTGTGCTTGCTGTTTCTGTAAAAGTAAATGAAGAAACCTCTGTTTAACTTTCTCTGTGAAGTGAAACAGTACCAACTCTAGTTGTTGGACCTGGCACATGGTAGACTTTCAAATGTAAAATGGCTTTTAAGACCTTACCCATCTCATGTGTGCACACTTGCCACAGTGTGGTGTGAAGGTGGAAGACATCTCTCCTTCCAGATCATGTGGGTTCTAGGAATTGAACGCTGGTGTCAGGCTTGCTGGCAAGCACCTAAGATCTGTTGAACTGTCTTGTCAGCCCTTTATATATAGTTTGTGTGTGTGTGTATGTGTGTGTTTATGTGCGTGTGTGCGTGCATGACACCTGCAATAGCAGTGCATGTGGTGGTCAGAAGACAACTTGAACCAGTTCCCTCCTGTTTTGTGTGTTCTGTGGAGAGCTCAAGTGCTCAGCAAAAGCGCCTTTACCCACAGAGTCATCTCACTGGCCCCAAAGGTAGGTAGGTGGGTAGGTATATATTGTATGTCTGTGTCTGTGTGCCATGATGCATGTCTAGGAGTCAGAGGACAGCTTGGTGTAGTCAGATCTCTCCTCTGCTGTGTGTTCAAGATAGAACTCAAGTCATTGCACTGGGCCACATGTACCTTTACCAATTAAGCTATCTCCTTGGCCCCAGATTTTTAAATTTATTTATAATATACACAAATTGCTTGGTTTTAAATACATGTGGCCCGTACGTTCAACATTGTAGATGCTGCAAAGTGTTACTCTGTAGATTATTTCTGCATCTCAGAATGAAGTATTCGGTATGCCCCGTGCTGTGGTAAAAACAGCAACAGTAAAGTCATCTTCAGCCAGCCCAGTCCCCACTGCCCCACTCGCGCTGCAGTGAGCTGTCGGCCTCCCCAGCACTCTTCCCTGTCTCCACTGTCTGCCAAGTGGCAGAGAGGAGGGAAGTGTGAGCCTGAACCCTTGTGTCTGCACACTTGTGTTCACTTTTAAGTGCTGCCAGTAGAACCGCTGCTGTTATTGCCCATGTTCTGTTTTGTCTTTACTACTTCTCTGTGGCTGTGGGAAGACATGATGGCCAAGGCAATTTGTGGAGGATTTATTGGGGCTTACCCGCTTCAGCAGGTGCCAAGTCCATAACCATCACTGGTGGAGAGCGTAGGGCAGCATGATGCTAGTAGTCCATGCCTCACATTTGCTCCACAAGCACAAAGCAGAGACAAACCAAGAATAGTGTGAACTTTTGAAACCTCAAAGCCCACCCCCACATCTCCTACAAGGTCACACTTCCTACTCCAGCCCAAACAGTTCCACCAAATGGGGACCAAAATATTTAAATACATGTCTATGGAAACGTTCTCATTCAAACCGTCACACACTTACCTGTGCTATGGGTGACTTTTTGTTTGATTTTATTGAGTAGAAAATTTTCTTCTGTTTAAATTTTTATTTTATGTGGGGTAGTGGTGTGGACAGCAGAGGGAGCCCCAAGTGAGTGAAATCCAGAGGGAATGTATATTTTGATATGGTGTGGCCTGTCAGGGTCTCTCAAAGCCATTAAGTATATGGGCCAAGCTCAGGGATACGGCAAAACTTTTCAGGAATCCAAGTATTAATGTTTATGGATGATTATCAGTGTGAGCAAAGAGACACTGAAGCTTCTCCCTTTCAGATGTTTATAGCCTGAGACTTTTCACCTGCTGAGACTAGCTAACCCCTGTCCTTGGTCTGTACTTACTAATAAGCATAAATGAGGTTCCAGGTTCAGCAGTAGTGGTTAGATACGCACGCATGCGCGCGCGCACACACACACAGCCCATCACAGCTTCACTCCATGTATCTGTGCTCTCTTCATTCCTTCACCATACTAGCTAGAGTTGCAGGACTATAACACGTAAGGTTGGTGCAGGGGGCACAATGCATGCTGCAGCACATATGGAGGACACTTCATGACATTGGGTATCTCTACCATAATTTCTGTTGGTTCCAGAGATTTAGCTTGCACTTTCTTACCTAACCCTCTTCCTATTTAAAATAACACAGGGGCCAGAGAAAGATGGCTCAGGCTGTCAGGCGCACCTTCTGTTCTTGCAGAGGACCCAGGTTCAATATCTAGTGTCTACATAATGGCTCAACCACCTATAATTCCAGTTCCAGGGATCTGATGGCCTCTTCCGGTCTCCAATGCTTCTTATACCCATGGCACTTATGCTCATGCAGGCTTATACAGTACAGATTAAGTTTTGTGGGTTTTTTTTGCATAATTGCTTAGAAATAAATAGAATGTATTAAGGTTTTGTTTGGGGGGTGGTGGTTATGAGCCTAGCCTTTAAAGCTGAGGCATCTCTCTAGCCCTTCATTGTGTTTTAAAGAAGGACTTGCTACAGTTAAGCTGGCCTGGAACTCATGACCTCCCTGCTCCTGTTGTTTTAGTCCTGGGATTACATGTATACTTCAGTGCTCCCAGCTTGCTGTGCCTCTTAATACTAAACATATTTGTTCACTCCTGTTGGTTAAATGTATGTTAGCCTTCTTGTCAAGACTTACACTCTTCAACTCCTTTGGTCTTGTCTGTAGTTATATTGCACTTTGGGTTCCAGAAAGCTAATAAATGTTACTGGGCTTGCTATCTTCATAGTATTGGGTATTTCTGAGTACAGTTTTCTCAGTGGTTACACCCTCTATCTAAATGTACTTTTTGACCATTTCTCCCAAGAGAAATTCCCCTCCCCTACTCTCTCTGGCCTTCAGGTTGGTAAGTAGCTAAGGATGACCTTGAACTTCTGACCCTCTTCCTTTTGAGTCTCCTTATTCTTTTTTTTAATATTTTATTATTTATTATGTATACAATATTCTGTGTGTATGCCTGCAAGCCAGAAGACTCCATTACAGATGGTTGTGAGCCACCATGTGGTTGCTGGGAATTGAACTCAGGACCTTTGGAAGAGCAGGCAACACTCTTAACCTCTGAGCCATCTCTCCAGCCCCAGAATCTCCTTATTCTTGAGAATATTTATTACCAGGTTTGTGTGTGTGTATATTTAACTCATATTTTGACATATTTCTATGAGTTGTTTCCACTTGGCTAAGTTTTATTCATACTCATTTATTTTTTAAGGGTGTGCCACCATACCCAGCAAATATATCATGTTTAACATATAGGTATGTGTACGTCTTTTGTCTGTGCACCATGTGTGCCTAGTACCCAAGGAAGTTAGAAAGCAGCGCTGGAGCTTCTAGAACTAGATTTAAAGACAGTTTTGAGTCATCATGTGGGTGCTGGAAATCGAATCTGGGTTCTCCAAAAGTTTGAACAGTCAGTGCTATGGACTTCTTAAGCCCTCTCTCCAGCCCCTTGCTGCCTTAAATTGCTGGTATGGATAGTGTGTTCACTTGCTGTCGAATTTATGGCATTTGAGTGAGCAGCTATTCCCACAGCTGTCTAGTAGTTTTCTTTGGAAAAAGACCAAAACCCTTGTCAGTACCTTGAGGGGAAGGTCATGGCCTTCAGGCATCTCTCGCTGTTGACTACTTTTCCAGAACTATTAGGAGATGGACTTTTGGGCAGCAGCTCTGGGAGGAAGGAGTTGTAGATATTACCAGCACACCACCAACCTACTGCTGACAGTAACTGGATGGATTGAACTCACCTTCAAGGTATGTAATTAGCCATTGCCAGCAGTCTCACAGAGTCTCAATATCTGGGGGAAATCTTGATACTTTTGAGTTTTAGTTTGTTAGTAGTAACTTCTCTTTGAAGAAAGGAAGTGATAGTAATTTTATTAATAGAAGATAGTTTATATGTTCAATCTTTGTTTTAAGTGTCTCCTATAAATAGAAATTTACCATTATTAATGGCTGTATGGGGGGGAGAGAGGATCAGGAGCATAAAGCGAGGCTCTCTCTGTCTTAAGGCAGGCCTGAAATTTACCACAATCCCTCTTTATCCTCACCAGTGCTGACCCACCATGCCTGGTTCTGGTGATAATTGTTGCCTACACTCCTGTAGTTTTTAATAATTGTTCTTCCACCCCAGTCCTGCTTTGTTTGTTTATTTGTTTGTTTTTAAAGGTGTATGTGTGTACCAGAAGATACCTTTGAAGTTGGAGCCATAGTCAAAGGTACCCAGTGTGCATGCTAGGATCCAAACTCCAGTCCTCTGGAAGAGCAGCAAATCCTCGTAATACTGAACCATCTTTTCCAGTTTGTTTCCTTTTGAAGCAAGATCTCTCTGTGTGTCCCAGCCTGGTCTCAAAGTCATGGCATCTTTCTTACCTTGGCCCTCTAAATGCTGGAATTATAGGCATGGCACCACGACAACTGGTTCTATTCCTGCTTTCTGATTGGTTGGTTGAAATAATCTTCCCTTGGCTGGTTTATAAGTTTCTATAGATTCTTGTCCTGACATTTTAAGGATTTTCTCAAAATATTTACAACATGGAACAACCTGAGTTAAACTCTAAAAAGGTATGATCCTTCTGTAGAATGACCTTACGTAACCACACTTACCTCCAGCCAGTACTTTAGATTCTATACAGAAAGGATTATTTTATTTGCTGGCACCTTCTCCTCTCCACACTCAGCTGACTCCGATGGTACTGACTAGTGTCACTGTCAGTTGTGATACACTGGGACTGCATCCCGGCTCTGGGGTAGGACTGTAGGACTGGGATATGTGACAATGGATATATTCCTTTTGGAATTCTTGAAATATTGGGAACTCAAAACGCAACAATATTGCCCTAAAGTTCTTATTGTGCCCCTCAGCATGGTCATAGGTGGACAGAAGTCATTTTTATGTAACAAAAGGTCAAAATCAAAGAGCATCTAGGGCAGCCAGCATTCCTGTGGCACAAGCTCACCTACCATGGCAGGCGGGAGCCCTGGACCACCAGTGTGCAGAGGTCAGGATGGTGACCTCACAGGTCTACGGCAGTCTCAGGCCGTGCAGGTCATGGATGTAGTATGAAAAGTACAACCTAGTAGTAGTCGGGCACACAATTAAATAGCATGTTTAATTATCTCACAACAGATAGTGCAGCAGTAGAAATTTTAAGTCCTTTGTTTAAAAAGTCACTTTCCCTGAAACTCCCGACACCATGGCTGAGGAACTGGTGACAGGGCCAGAGGGATTAATAGTCTTCCAAGGAGCTGAAAGTCTCCAAGTTAGAGCTGCCTTGAGAGCAGCCAAGAGACCTATAAGGAACAGGTACCCATACACTCAAGCACTCACGCGTGCAAAGGACACAGAAAAGACATGGATGGAGGGACAAGGAAGGGACCACAGTGGGGCAGTCACACACATGCACGCGAATGCCACAGAGTTCCAGTCGATCTGTGGCTATCTCCTCTGGGAGAATGAGGGGTGGCCTGAGCCTGGAAGCAGGAGCTGGTCATCCCCAGCAAGCCCCCCTATGTCCCTGATACGGTCAGTACACAAGCCAGCTCTTGAGATGAGGGGCCAGGCAGCAGTTAGTGGGCAAGGATTTCTCTTGGCTTAGGAAAGGCAGGGCACACTGTCCCAGAGAAGCTAACAAAGACTATATGCCGAGGGCTAGGCTGGTGGCACTCGGCTCTGGGCTCAGCTGCACTGTTCTAACAGCAGAGAAGAGGCTAAGGGGCTGGCTGTGTCTGCTCTTGGGCAGGGGGCAGGAACATGTGTGCAAAGTGAGGCCCTGAGATGAGGATATTGGGGGGGCCTACCACATAGGTTCATAGAGGAAACCTTCATTCACAGCTTCATTCAGGGGTTCCTATAAAGTGTCTGTGGATTCAAGTACCAGCAGTTCTGAAGAGGGCTGTTGGGATGGAGTGACCAGCACACGCTGGGAGAGCAGCTGCCCTCAGACCCAGGAGGTCAGGAACCAGCCTAGACGTGCTCTGGCCCCTGGCACTGGGGCTCAATTTGATGAGACAGACCAAGGAGTTATAAGATCTCCTCCCGTGGGCTCCTGGTCTTCAAAGGTGTTTGCCCATTCGGCACAGATCCATTCTGACCATGCAGGAGTTTGCCTTTCTCCCGGTCTGGCCATGTGAAGATGGCATCATCGCTGTCCAACTCCGACTCTGAGTGCATCAAGCTGCTGCTCAGCATGGGGCCTTTCTGTTTGCTGCCTGCCAAGAAAAGCCCAGTGTCAGGAAACACCTTCTGAGGCCTGAGCCATAGCCCATCCTCATCTCTGCCTGGAAAGGAGACAAGGAAGAAGACCAGGCATCCTACAGGAAGAACAGGTGGGAGGAGGGCTGGGCTGCCTAGAAGAACACAGAGGGCAAAGCGTGGAGATGAGACCTGAACTCTGCTGTACCCCTGAGCTTCGGTTGGTGTGGCCAAGTGGTGGTCTGTCCTCCTTCATCACATCCCTGGACAGAGCTATATAGTGAGACCCTTCTCAACACACACGCGCACACACCCAAAAATTAAGATTTTAAAATGGGTGGATTCTCATTCAGGTAAAGTCCCAAGCAGCCATGTTATCAGAACACACCAGGTTCTGTTGGTTTGTTATTTTGTTTTTTGAGACAGGGTTTCTCTGTAGCTTTGGAGTCTGTCCTGGAACTAGCTCTTATAAACCAGGCCTTGAATTCATAGAGATCTGCCTGCCTCTTGTGACTCCTGAGTGCCACCACCTGGCACACACCATGTTCTGTAAGAGGCATCTTGGGCTGGATTGCTCAGCAGTTAAGAGCAGTAGCTGCTACTCCTCCAAAGGGCCTAAGTCTTATTTCCAGCACCCACAACACATGGCTTCTGTAACTACATCTCCAGGGTATCCCAACGCCTCTGGACTCCATGGTTCATGTGGACATACACTTATGCAGATAGCACAACTACACATAAAGAATCTTTTAAAAATCCATAAAACTGAAACTCTAAAGTCACCTTCACAGGTTTTCCCTCACTGTAGAGACACAGGGAAGAACTATTTGTCAACAGCTTTAGGGTAGATCCCATTCCCAGAGAGAATGTAGGAATAGCCAACAAGATCACTCCAGCAGTGTTCTATACTGGCACTGCCCAACCACAGGAGCTAGCTCTCCACTTGTTAAAAGTGGTGGCTATCAGGTATGTTGTACTTCAGTCAGGCAGTCCACAACATCGCCATCCATCCGTGTAAACATCAATGGCAGCCTGACAGCTCTGGGTGCTCTCTGGTCTCCCAAGGCTGGCTTCAGACCTGACCACTCCCATCCCACTCAAAGATCACACCCTGCGGTGGACCTCATCCACATCTGTTTTGGCCATGCAGTGTGGGCTAAGGCCCACCATTACAGAGGGTATAATCCTGGGGTATGCCTGCAGTCACATCCAGAGCCTCAGGGCACCAGTGCAGCAGAGCCACAGAAAAGCACTGGCTCCATGGGGCTCTCCAGTGTGCTGGAAACAGTGACAATGGCAGGTCCAGGAAAAGATGCTTCTTTTTCCCTTAAATGCTGTTCCTTCTCCCACAGCCCCTCCACTGGAGACCTTAAAAGAACATTCACTTCCTTCCTAGTACCCGCACCCTCCTCTCTCCCCACAAAGGACAAGGGGCTTTAAGGAGATCCCTCCCTGGTTGTGCAGCCCCATCTCTCATAGCACCTGTCTACCACAGCTCCTGCTCATGTACTTCACCCACTAAAAACGACAAAGTTGGGGAACAATCAGTGAAAACTATATACACACATCGCTGGAACTCAACAGTTTTCCGAGTCTACACTCAATAGAGCTTCATGTGTGTGTCTTCTAAAAGACACAGGGATGAGCAGTATAACTGGTCAGTAAATAGATACCTGTCAGTAGATGACTGGGTGCAAGCCTGCTGTAAGGAACGTGGGTGAAAGCGGCCCAGCACGTGGCACCATTTGCAATCTGACTCCTAAGATACTATTAACCTGGGCACGGAACGGTAGCACAAAGGGGGCCAGGGGCTGATTTTCCTTGTGACAACTCCACCTGCTGTATTTCCAATATTCTGGCAAACAGAATTGCCACTTTTGTGAGTGGTAAAAAAGTAATTTTGGCCAGGTGGTGATGGTGCATACTTTGAATCCCAGCACTCAAGATGCAGAGGCAGGCAGATCTGAGTTTGAGGCCAGCCTGGTCTATAGATCAAGTTCCAGGACAAACAGGGAAAGAAACCCTGTCTCAAAAAAAATTAATTTGATTTGGTTCCGCCTACAATAATAGAAGGAACAAATAAAAGCAGATCTAAACCTGCTGCTGTCAGACTCTCTGGGCTCTAGCCTGCCCAGTGTAGCACCTCAGCCCTGCTCTGCCTCAGAGGGGGAATCCTTGCAGCTCCCTTCATGACACGCCCACTCTAGGAATTTCACCACCAGGCCCTGCCCTGCATGCAATCTGGTCATGAGTCCTGGCCCTCTGTCCCCCTTGTTTGAAAAAGGCTTCAAAATCCACAGGGCATATGGTTCCCTACCCCTAACCTCTACAGTCCTCCACTCTGCCAGCCAGCCCTGCAGGTGGCTGTTAGGATCCCCAGAGTCAGGACGTTTATGACAGTGCTTCCCCTGTGCAGCCAATCTTGGATGCCTGGGTCTTTTTAGGGCTGTGACCCACTTTTGAGGTGCTGATCCTAACTGGCAAAGAATCCCATCTTTCAGTCCTGACCGACCATTCTTCTGGGTTCAGTTTAATTCTTCTCTAACAGTCCTGGTAACAACTGTCCCGATTCTGTCAACATCTAGATAGCAATCAGCTTTGACCCTGTCTGTTCCTCTGCACTGTCACCACCCACCTCCTCAGACCAGGCTCCCTATCTGCAGTTCTCCCTTTAGCCTGCTACATGTCGTCACTAGAGTCACTGAGCATGTTCGAAACATCACATTGTGGTACCACCCAGACAGATGCTCAGCCCTAACCCCACATAAGACACCCCACTACTCTTAGGGGGAACCTCAGCAAAGACCTGTTCATCCATATCCAGCCTTGGGTCACTCACTCTGGCTCACTTTGCCAGTGTAAACAGCTTTTGTCCACATCCCCAAATGCCCTCTGCCCCTCCAAGCAGTGAGACCTCACCCTCACATTCCTGTCTGCAGTGCTGCTGACCGATCTGATGCTACTCATCCTTCACACTCAGCTTCACTGCTGCTTTTTTAGTTTTTAAACGGTCTCCTTCCTTGCTGTGAGTATGTGAGATTATGCACACTTCTTCCAGTTTGTGGTTCCTGGAGCTTGAATGCAGGTTACCTGCCGAGCCTCTCTCGGGCCTCCCTCCCATGATGTACTCTTTATTAAGACCTTTTACTGTCATTCTGTAGAGTTGTGAGTGTGGTTTTGGGAGGCCAAACAGGGATGAGAAATAAACTGTCTGAACATGAAGCAGCAGAACAGATTGGAGATGAACAAGAGGGAAAGTAAACATACAGAGGTCATGTAACCAAGCCAAGAAAAGCGTTATGAGGGAACATGGTCAGGAGTAAGGCCATGGGGCCTCGCTGGCCATCGGGAAGCTAGCTGCACACCACATTTGCTGGGGGTGTTCCGACTGCTGCTCTGGTAACCAGGCCCACTTCAGACTCAGGACTCACAATGGAACTGCCTGGGTGCAGAGCCCAGTTGCTTGTGAACACTCATTCTCTGTAGATCTGTCTTCTCTGGGGCAGAGGGTCTTAGGCCTGTCTCCACCATAGCCTCTTCAACACAAAGCTTTAAGCAGAAGGGTGTTTAATAAACACTTTTTTTTTTTTCTGAGACAGGATTTCTCTGTAGCTTTGGAGCCTGTCTTGGAACTAGCTCTTATAGACCAGGCTGGCCTCGAACTCACAGAGATCCGCCTGCCTCTGCCTCCCAAGTGCTGGGATTAAAGGCGTGCGCCACCACCGCCCCTCTAATAAATGCTTTCTGTAAAAGCAGTTTAGAAACAGCTTACGTGGAGAGCAACTCCCACAGACAGATGACCTGTCCTGGGGCCCTCACGAGGGAACCTCAGGAAGGGCTTATTTAGCAGGAGTCATAGTGGGAGACACCTGGCTCCCAACACCCACAGACATCAGGAAAGCAGCTGTCCTAAGACTGAAGAGGGTGGGGTAGGAGAAGTCAGAGAAAAGCAGGTTACGATCTGGTCTCTGCCTGGAAGGGACAGACTGCTCAGGTTCAAGAGACTGAGGCCCCTGACAGTGACCACAGGGTCACTGAGAAGCAAACCTGGGATGAGCAGGCAAAGGAAAATGAGGTGAAAGGAACATGGGGATTGGACACTCAGTCCAGCCCTCAGCACCAGCTCCCAGAGTCCTACCTGCTCGGGCGCTTGGCTTCAGCTCCAGGCTCTCCTGATCAGTGGCATCCAGGATCTTGTATCTGCTTTTCCTCCTGGGTTTTCCTTTTTGCCTAAAAAACACAACCCCCATCTCTGCTCAGGAAGGAGGTCTGTGAGGCTCCAAGTGCCGAGGCTGCCTGGTGGACAGCACCTCTCCTTACTTCTCAGCCAAAGCAGGTGGCAACCTGAGACAAGGGAGTTGTGGCCGTTGTGGGATGGGCTGGCTAGAAAGCACAGCAGACAGCGAGAGAAGCAGTGCACCCTGCTGATGGGTTCTGGCTGGTGGAGCTTTTCAAAAACCATACTTTTCTAAGTTTTAAATAAGGCAATATAAGATTTAGTCCCAACTCTCTCAAATTGCTATCAGTTGAGTATTTAAGCCTGCGTTTCCTTATCTGTGGATTGGGAGAAGGCTGTTGGGGAATATAAAAAAAGATAATGCCGGGCTGGAGAGATGGCTCAGTGGTTAAGAGCATTGCCTGCTCTTCCAAAGGTCCTGAGTTCAATTCCCGGCAACCACATGGTGGCTCACAACCATCTGTAATGAGGTCTGGTGCCCTCTTCTGGCCTGCAGACATACACACACACAGAACATTGTATACATAATAAATAAATAAATATTAAAAAAAAAAGATAATGCCTTCTGAACGTTACCATGACACAAAAAACTCAAAACTTTTGGTTCAGGTGTTAGCACCACAAGCAAAAGTCTTGCACATGCCAGACAAGTGTTCTACCACTGAGTTATGCTTGTAGCTTGAAATCATGCTTAACAGTGAAAAATAATACAATCAATGTAACCATAAAATAATACAGCTAGCTAGGCTGTCTCAAGTAAAAACAAACTAGAACATGCAATCATGAACTCAAGTCTAAGTCTATGTGCAGGTGTGAGGATGGCTCACAGCACTGCAGAGTACATACACCAGCCACACCTCCACCAGGGTCCCCACCTCGCAAATATCTGCAGTGACATCCCTTAAATGAGGGCAGTACTTCTGCCTTCAGGAGTGGGAAATGAGGATTTTTCTGCCACAGGCCTTAGGTGGTCAAATCCCATCCCAGAGACTGGTTGCCTGTAAGGAAGGTGCCAGGTACCTCCTCTTGGAAAGGTTCTATGACTGGAGCCACACAGACTCCAACACATACTTGTCAGCACCCTTCACCTTACCTCTTGCAGCAACAGATAGTCGTCCAAGACAGGATTCCCAAGGCAACAACAATGACAAAGGTTGCAATAATAACATACAGCACGCTCCATTCTGCAAAGAAATTACAAGGGTAAGAATGTGCTTGGCTCCCTGGGGAGGGTGAGTGGAAGCTCCTACGCGTCTAAAATGCCCATGTGTCCCAGGCCACTCCAGCAATGCTCTGGGCACTGCCCATTGTGCAGGGGCACAACTCTGAGATGGGAATGTGGGTTCCCATGAGGTCACATGTTGCATTAGGAGCAGCAGGGCTGCGTCCCCGGCACCCGGCCGCCCGCATGGCTAGGTTATGCCCGAAATAATTACACGGAAACTGTATTCTTTCAAACACTGCCTGGCCCGGCTAGTTCCAGCTTCTTATTGGCTAGCTCTTACATATTGTTCTAACCCATTTCTAATATTCTGTGTAGCCCACGAGCTGGCTTACCAGGGAGGATCTTAACCTGCGTCTGTCTGGAGTGGGAGAATCATGGCGACTCTCTCACTCAGCTTCTTTCTCCCAGAATTCTCTTCTGTATACTCCGCCTACCTAATTTTCTATCCAATAAAATGGGCCAAGGCAGTTTCTTTATTAATAAGAAATCACTCCCACATCATTTCCCCTTTTTCTGTTTAAACAAAAAAGAAAGGCTTTAACTTTAACATAGTAAAATTACATATAACAAAACAGTTATCAAGTAAGAATTACAGTTACAATATTTATATCTATTTTATCTCTTATCATAACTAAGGAAAACTATAACTATCTATTCATTCTTCAACTCCATCAAAGACTCCAGAAGGATATAATACTACCTAAGTAAACAAGAAATAAGAAAACTCTAGAAATGACAGAGACATCTCACTGCCTGGACAGTCACCCAAAGTTCCTCTGTACCGTTGGGGCATCACAGTCAAAAAATTTAAAGAAAACACAATAATACAAAGAATCCAGACTCTCTGTGAATTTTTCATTTTTACATGGCTTATTTTTCTTTATTTCTCTTAATCTATAACTATCTGTACTTCTGTATTCTGTCTCTTTAAAGACTTTACCCTTTTTCTTTTTAAGACATTAACTTTATTTTTTATATTCTTTTTTCTTCTCTCTCCCAAGCCTACGTACATTCATCCAACAGTGTCTGAATCTGTTTTATTGTGAATCTGTAATTTTTTTACTATCTAGGAGCACTTTGTTTGGCGCCTTTAAATCACTAAGCACTTAAGAATCTAAACTGTGACATTCCTAGGTCAAAAACAGGTATTGCATGCTGGCTCCGCCCAGTCCAACATGGCGGAGCCGCTCGTGCCTCTGATCCTTGCACATTGCACCACTAGCATGGCAGAGCTGCTTGTGCCTCTGAGCTGCGGCACACAATGTCCCCCTTTTAGGCACACAGCAGTCCACATTGCCTACAAGCAAGCCTTAGCACTTTACTCCAAATGCTCCATTCAAAAGCTCTGTCTCCTGCAGGAGCCAGACAGAGATCGCGATGGCGGCACAGCCCAGAAAGCCGGCATTTTAAAACAGCCAGTTTTTTCCTGCTGCTGAGTCAGGACAATTTCTTTGCGGCACGCAACCCAGAAACAGCAAAAAGCTGTCTTAAATTCTCTCTCTCTCCTTTTTAAACCCTCTCAGGTTTTACGTGGATTTAGCCCATCATGTCTGGGTGCCATCACAGCATGCAGGCACTCCACAAAGACAAGGGGTCGCCTGGAAGCACATGGGATTCAGGTCACAGCATGCAGCTGCTCTGACTGCTGCAGAACCCTCTGCTGGCATTCAGAAAGTGTGGAGGAAGGGACCAAAGAGTCTTCTGCAAACAGAAAATACAGAGTTCTGCCTGCTCATCTACCTTGAACACCAACACCTACCCCCGCAGCACAGCACCATTCTGCAGCCAAGCTGGCTGGCATGAAGTCACGCACTCACTCACCACAGTTGCTGTCTCCGTCCCTCAGCTGCACCTTGATGAAATTCTCCATCCAAAATGGGTCACAGATACAGCGCTTGGTGAATGAGTCACAGTGGCCGTGGTCAGAACAGTTCAGCTGACATGCTGAAGGTGGCAGGAAAGAGGTCAGCGTGAGAAAGAGCAAGGCAAACAAAAGCTTCAGAGCTGATGGAAACTGAAGTCCCTTGTTTCATGTTAGCTTCAGTTGATAGACAGGTGCCAGACCCCGGTCAAACAGCTCCCGAGTCTCCTTTTGCTGTCTGCACTAGTGACTGTCTATCCGGCATGCTTCCTCTTCAGAGCAGTGTAATTCCAGAAACAATACATAGAATACTACAGACTTTAAGAACCCAAAGTTTTAAAAGTAGACAAGAGGCTCTGCAGTGGGTCTGACAACAGCTAACCCTGAAGCAGCGCTGTGCGGATGCTATTGCCCACAGTGTGCCGCCAACCATGTCAGTTCTTTGGCCCCAGAGTCACCAGCTCTGTTAGTGCTACCTGCCTTCAAAACTGAGGCTGATGGTGAATCTGGAGGCAGGGCTGGATAAAATAAAGATACAAGTATTTTCTTCCTCAGGCTCACAGTTCCCTGAGCACTGTCAGGGGCCTGTGGGCCCTGGGGTAAGAATCTCCCTCCGGGTGAAAGGTAGTTTGTCTTAGGGCTTTGCTCCCAGCTTCCCATGACTCACTGACAGTGTTGATTTCCAGGGCTCTGAATATCAGGAAGTCAGCCTTCTGCTTCCGCAGTTCACTCTTGAGCATGGCTGCCACCTCATGGCCTTTGAAGAGCTGGTGGGGAGGCTCATTCTGAACAAAAAATAACATCTTGGTGCTGTAGAGACAGACAACAGTGAGTGTGCTGGAGTGGTCCAGAGTGGCTGTCATAACCTCATCCACTAAGCACCCTGTATCCTGTGGTGACATGCAGCAGCCCAGAGAGAAAGATGCTTTCTTCCCCACCTTCCTTTTACAAGAGGACAAAATGGGGGCCCAGAGGAGCTAACTCACCCAGGGTCACACAGTTCCGGCAGAGCCAGAGCCCCACCCTGTTACACAGGACCCTAAACTTTACCCTTTTACGAATACCCTGACTACCAGCAACTGTGGTCCACACAGCTAGCAGGAGAGCGAGAAAAGCAGGGCTGGATGTGGCCCTATCCCTGCTTCCAGTCTTCGCTAGCTATGTAGCTGGTTTGGTGCTTGGGTTACTAATAAAGCACGCCACAGCACTTCATGAATGTAAACCGCTGGAAAGATTGCCCATACGCCAAACAACTATTACTGTGAAGCAGCAGGGTTGCTGGGCTGAAGTGACGCCACTCCAAGCCCAGAATTTGTTTGCCTTCTGCCTGTCATCTGAACTCGGGTCTCTCTGATGGCCTCTTCCTTAGCATCACAAACAAACCTTCCTAATCAGTGGGCCATGTGGACTTACAGGTTTGCCCAAGATATTGACCCCTTAGCATAATAGGGTGGCTGAGGGGCCCTAAGTATCCCATACGCCCTGGCCCAGCTGATTCCAGGACAAGCTACCCTAAAGTACTGCAGCATTGTCCACACGTGACATGACATAGAATTTGGGCTGAACTGTCCTACTTCTGACTGACTAAAAGCGACTTACTACAAAGTGAAGCTAACAGTGGGGCCCTGCAAATTCCAGACCTGATACAGTCTTTACCATAGACCATTGCTCCTGTAATCCATGTGTACAGCTTTTATTTTTGTCTCTACCAATAACGCTCACATATTTATCTCCATTTGCACAGGACAAATAGTGACTAATCTGTATCAGCAGAAACTCGCTGAGAATATAGAGCCCAGGTCTCCGCCTCAATTCAGCGTGTCTCAAAATAAACTTGTGGTAGTAAGTAACAGCCAGGGTGGTGACACGTACCTTAAAACCTACCACTCAAGGCGGAGGCAGGTGGACCCCTGTGAGTTCTAGTCTACATAGCATGTTACAGGTCAGCAAGGTCTACTCAGTGAGACCCTGTCTCAAAATTAAAAGCAAACAAACAAAACTGTTGTGGAATATTAGTTGAAGATGTGTTCCATTCATTTATGCTGCGGAACATTTGTTTAGTGATGCAAAGATGTGTTGCATTCTTTCCTGTTGCATTTGTTTAACTCTGTGAAGCTGTGTTTTTTTGCCTGCCTAAAACACCTGATGGTCTAATAAAGAGCTGATCGGCCATAGCAAAGGCCAAACAGTGTGCTCCCAGCTGTGCAGTGAGGACCAACACAGTCGTCTCCCTTTCAGACTGTAGCTTTGTGAACATAACAGGTCTCTTCTGACCTTGCTCCCGGAGCCAGTTTGACTTTTTACCACAGGGCCTGAGGCCTGACTGGCAAAGTACCCACCCTTCTCCACCTAGCCCCACTGCTGCTCAGCTGGGAAGCCTTGTGACCCCCAGGATTTCCTTTTCTCTCCACATTCATTGTCCAGCTACCTCTGCTCCGTGTACGGCTGAATCTTTTGCACAATGATGTCGGAATCCAGCACCCCCAGGAGAACCCCAATCTGGCGAATGAACATCCCTTTCAGCCTCTCCGTCAGCTGGCTCACATTAACATCCAAGATGATCTCCACCAGGTTGTTTTTCCTGGGATCTGGAAGGCACAAGGATCAGTCATGGCTTCAGAAGTGAATGGTTAACACAGGCTGTCACTGTGTTTTTGGCACAGGAGGGGAAGTGGTGACAGCAGTTAAACATTCAATTGGGAAAGGAGAGGAGCGAACTCTTGGTAAAGCTATCAGGAGCAGGCTTGGAAAGCTTCCCACCACCCCTGCCACCCAAATCCCAGGGGGAGGCACAAACCATAAGGCACCAGGCTTCATGGGGAGGGGCAGAGGAGGTGAGACCTGTTTGACAGGCACTGCTGAGCGGTCTCCCTAGACCCCACCACACTTTCAGGGATATGCTGTACTTTGTTCATAAATACCGGAGGGAGAATACACCTCCGACCGTCCTAACAGTGGTGTGGATGCAACCAACACAGGGAAAGTCCAGGAAGCCAAGAAATGACCTCAGTGCCACACTGTTGACCTCTAGAACTGAGATGTGGTTATACTTGCTGGGCACAGCTGAAGCAACCATGGATTGCCCAGAAAACCTTGCCTGGAGACTTGGATGGAAGAGCCAGGGCTGTAGCCTGATTTTTAACACACATGAGACCCTTTCAGCCACTGTTTTTCCTAGAGGCATGACAAGGACTAAAACCCTTTCCAAGGCAGAGCCATGCCTGAAGCTGGCCAAAAGTAAAGAGCTAACATCTCTACTAGGGGCCATCAGCCCTGCCCACCGCCATCCTCCCTATCACCAGTGCAGCCACCAGCATCACAAAAGCAAGTTTCTATTTAAGGGCATTAATTTCTGAAAACCTGAGAAGTGTGCAGGACATCACTTTACTTCCCTGGATTGTCAGAGAAAGCCTGAGGCTCAACTTACAAAAATAAGTTGTTTTGTACATTTGGGTGCTGATGAGACATCATGACTCAAGCCGTTGCTGTGCTCAGATCCCATAGTACCCGAGCCTGCTCGCAGACATGTGCAGAGGAGAAGGGACTGAGTTGGGACACAAGGTCTGACGGCACAACCGCCCTCTCTGAGGCTAGGTGTTTGCAGGGTCTCGGGGAGGTCTGTTACTGGCTAGGTGGGAGGGTACAGGAAGTGAGCTCACCAGGTTTCACTTCCACGGTGGTCCGGTCTGTGTCACTCTCACCCTTGGCATCGGTCACTTTCAGATGAAACGTATAGGTTCCCTCAACCAGGTTAGAGAGGACGAGGACGGGGTGATGGTCAGACTGATTCAGCACCTCCTGTGGGGGTGAACAGCATGGATGCTGTGGGACAGAATGCCACTCCTTTCTTGGAATAAGCTGCTGCTTGAGCCATACAGCTCTGCTGGTGGGCCAGTCACAGCATCGCCCTTTACGGCCCCTAGGGGCAGGGGCTAGAAGATGCTGTGTGGACCAATTTCTAGGGGTGACTCACAGGAAGGCATTTGACGCCCCGATTTCAGAGCACAATCTAGGTTTGATACAGGGGTGTTGTGGTTAAAACAGATCCTGGAGGGTAGGATCCCCCTCTTCACCTACCCCTACCCTGACTTTACACAGCACTCCCACTCTGGCCCACTCACCCCTGCAGCTGGGCTCGCCTCGTCTCGAGTCCACAGGTAGCTGACTATCCCCTTGTCATCCGAGGACCTGGAGCCATCCAGCTCTGCTGTGCTTGTGGGTAGGGTAACCACCACATTCCCGGTGATCTTGGCTATTGGCGGCTTGTTTATTTCTAACCAAGGAGACAACATTGAAACAATGTGACATTCTGGAAAAGCCAGATGCTGCTTGTGATGCGGATGAGGAGCTAATACTGAAGAGCCTTAAAGGAGAGCTGTTCAGTGCTCGTCCACGGTGTAGTGCAGGAGCCACTAGAGCCGAGGCTCCCAGGCTCTCCCGTTTGTTGCACATGGAGGGGACAGGTGCTTTCAGTTCAAATTTAGAGACTGGAGACAAAGGCCAGGGGCGCTTAGAGCCCAAGACTCTGGTTTTGCTAGTTAACACCAGGACCTCTCCTTTCAAATGCTGCTCTCAGGGTGCCCCCCCCAGGGTCCGTTCCCTCCCACCCCATTCACCTCGCAGGAAAAGGAAGAGTGTGATCTATGGCGCAGAAGCTCGGCTGGCCAGGGGTTACACAGTTTGGTCAGCACACTGCTCGGATGTCATCCACTGATAGGGTGGTTTTTCTACTACCAGCTCATAGCCTCTCCCAGTCCACCCCAGTGAGGCCAACACACAAGGCTGAGGGACAAGCCAGACAGACAACCCAGGACAACTCCAGTTTGACAGTCATTCCAGCCCCTGGCAGCAGGGGTCACTGTTGCTACCGGGGAGTCACAGAAACCCCAGATCCTAGCATGGGGCAAACTAAAAATGCAAAGAAAACAAATTGCTTAATACCTCCACTACTCATTTGAGAAGAAAAATCAGGAAAGGAAGCAGGGGAAGGGGTGGAGAGTGCAGAGAGGAAGGGGTTTAAAATCAGTTACTTACAGTTACTCTCAAAGACTGTTTACAACATTACAGCTGCCCTCCCCAGTCGGCTTCCCTATCTCCCCTTTAATCAATTCTGCCCCCAAACAGGACGAGGTGGCTTCCTGGGCCGTCAGACCCCAGAGGCTGCTGCACGGACACAGCAAGACGCACCTTCTTTGACAATGACATTCACGGAGCTCTGGCTCTGCAGGTTCCTCTCATCTTTGACAGTCAAGGTGAACACATAGGTCCCCACTTGCAGCCCCGTCACAATGGCGACGCTGCTGTTGGAGTTCTCCAGCTGCACCCCGTCAGGCCCCCTAGACGAGACAGCAGTCAGAAGGCGGAGTCTACCTGTCTGCTGCTCTCCTGGCAGCAGGAACTGCAATTATTGCCTCAACTAAGACAGGAACAACTGTTTCCCAAACCTCGACAGAAAATGTTTAAAAATATTCTGTTTGGAGAAAGTATCACTTGGCCCCAAAACACAGTCGTCTTCTGGTCAGAAAATATCTCTTAAACAAATATAGGCTTATCTTTTATATGAGCTTATAGAACATTCAAACTCTTCATTATTCTAGTTTATATAAGAAATAGTCCTCTGAGCAGCTCTGCTCAACAGGATGACCCAGGGATCAGGTTTCTGAGAAGCTTTTCTGGCCCATTAGCTGGTTTGCCCTTGCCTGCAAAGATGCAAAACACACTTCTTCTCCACACTCCTGAGGAGAAGTTGGGGGAAGGATGCAGGCCAGGGCTGCAGAGGGGCTCTTGGGACAAAGCTGTCTTCTCCCTGTTCTATAACTGAGTCTCTTCTAGATCATGGCCAGTGCCACAAAACACTGCGACACCACATCCTGCCTGCCTCCTTCCCACCGTGTCTCATGGCACAGCAGCCTTCAGCAGGCTTCCGGCCAGCACACAGGCAAGGGCTTCACACAGCCAGAGCCCTGCACACCCACGCATCCCTCCAACTAAGGACAACCAGAGAAAGCTGCCAGCTCCCAGCTCTGCTTTTAAAACTTATTACCTCTGACCAGACTGGCCTCTCCTGAGTCTGTCTCATCCAGGAAGCACAATCTCTGACTGCAGGTACCACTGACATTCTGCCTGAGGGTTCCTGAGGTCTGCCTTCAATAAACAGTTACAGTGATAATACACTGAGCTAAGGGAGACCCAGATCTCCAAAGCAGCAGAAGAGAAGATGTCCGGTGCCTGACGTAGACTGCCTAAGTAGAAACTAAAGCCTTCTCTACCCTACCCATCTCCAATGCTATAACAAAGTGTCTGTATGTATATTGGTGTGTGTGTGTGTGTGTGTGTGTGTGAGCATATATGTTAAGACTAAACCCCACTTGTCCTGTAGCTGCTGTTTTTGGAAATAATAAAGAAATTTTCAACTTCCCTAGAATCCCTTCACTTCCTGCAGGATCCTGTATACAATTTAAGTTCCATTTGTTATGGTTCATAAGTGCTGAAAGAAACTGCAAACAAAAATGGCTCAAATAGGTGATTTCAATTTAAAAAGTATTATCTTGGCTACAGTCTTTGATCTTTGGCTAACTTAACTGAGAAACAATGTCTTTCAAGAACATAACATAGGCATGCTTTTGTTTTATAGATAAATTTTCAATTCCTCTTAGTAGCTGCTTGCTCATCCTCAGCTAACCTTACCAGTTAGTTTTGAACAATGGTATTTTTCTGCTCCATTACCTCTCCAGCCTGCCTCTCAAATGTAATTCAACTACACATTAGCAGATGGAGTGGACCTGCAGGAACCCCAGGACCACACTGACTGGGGCGACTGATGATGCACATTCTTCTTTAAAAAAAAAAATCAGAAAATCTTTCTAAAGAGCTGAAATTTAAAATTATAAACATTACTTTCTCCTCTCCTGAATAAGCCAGTAGGAGTGAGTCAAGCCTGAAAAACAAGTAGAACCATGCTCTTCCAAGGCCAGGAACCTCTGCACAGAACACTCACTGGGTCTTCTCCCAAAGATAGGAGACAATTCTCTGGTCATCCGTGCTCTTGCTGCCATCTAGGGTTGTGCTGTCCACTGGCAAGGTCAGCTCTTTGTCTGGGCCTGCATCTGCCTGAGGAGGCTTGTTGTTCTCTAGGACAAAGAAATGCAGCCATCAAAAGCAAAACTCCAGGTGGTAGAGGAAAGGACCCTTGGGGCATCTGTTCTGGTAGCCATGGGAACTCTGCCTCTCAGCCCAGAGCTTTACAAGGTATGTGGGAGAGAGATGGATGCCATCAGGGGACTCACAAGAAGAATAAGACTGATGCATGTCAAGCGATTCTGAAAACAGTGAAGTTTTAGCTCTGCAACCTAATGCAACAGGGTAGGAAGCAGGAGACAGCTTTCTAGATGAAGTGGGCTTCACACCACTCCTTTAAAATCACGTGACACTTGACAGGTGTGGCTCCCCCTCCCAGGCCACGTCAGCACACTGTAACTAGCAAGGGAGGGGCACACACTGAAGCTGAGAAGCCTCCTCTAGCTACAAAAGAGGGCTAGGGGGCAACAGATGTGGTTCTCTGTGGGTGATGCCTTCTACCTCTCTGCTCCTTCTGCTCAGAACTCAACCCCTTCTCTCCCAGACTCCTGAGGAAGCAACTTACCAGGCTGCACAATCACAGTCACTTGAGCAGTCGCCTGCTGGCCTATTGTGTCTGTCACTGTGAGCTGGTAGGTATAGTCTCCTTCTTGCATTGCAGACAGCTGCAGGGTTGGCGTTCTAACTCCCTACATGTGGAAATTCAGGAATGAGCAATGACTCCCAGGATCACAGCACTGCACACAATGCTCACTTGACAGGAATGGTTCAGTCAGGTCTTTAACCCTAACTTGGTTATCACCTCCCAGCTCAGCATAGTGAATGACGGCTGAAAGTTCAGCACGAGACATTGAACTAATAAGAATTTCTATAGATTCTGTGACCTCAGAGAGACTTGTCAGAACACATCAACTATAATGGGTCAAGCATGCCTTGGGTTGTGTCTAGAAACCCAGAGATACAGAATCCTTCCTGCACACCTGAAGGAACATTGTAAAGGAGAGGCAAACCTCCAACACAGGTGCTTCCTATAGAATAATGCAAAACCTGGCAACCTAGGGCTGAGTCCAGCTTGTAGGTATTTTGTTTGGCCTGGAGTGCTGAAGAGTTGGAAAATTCCACCCGAGAGTCTCATTTATGTCTGGACTAGGGCCCTATCTCCATGTGACTGCGGAGGCCAAGGGTCCTCCAGCACAGCCCCATCTGGGTTACTCCACTTATTTAAATGCCCTGTCTATTCTGCAATACCTCTAGGGAAGATATCCTTTAGCCAGACGGTCTACTCCAATGAGTTGATGAAGATTTGCGCCCTGGTTGCATCTGTGTAATTTGACTCTCTAGGTTGGGTCACCCGTAACAAACACATTTCTTACCTAGCCTCCTAATATGAAGGTTTCAGATAATGTGCTAGTTAGAAAACCTAAAACTTTCTGAATTAGTTTGGAGATTAAATGTTGTAATAGGTGTGGCGGGGCTGTGTCCCCAGCACCCCAGCCGCCTGCTAGCTTATGCCTCGAAATAATTACACGGACACTGTATTCTTTTAAACACTGCTTGGTCCATTATATCTAGCCTCTTCTTGGCTAACTCTGATATCCTGATCAACCCATCTCTAATAACTGTGTAGCATCGGTCTTACTGGGAAGATTCTAGCCTACGTCCATCCTGGGTCGGAGCTTCATCGCATCTGCCCCAGAGAGCAGAGCTATCACGTCTGAGCTCACTTCCTCTTCCTCCCAGCATTCTGTTCTGTTTACTCCTCCCACCTATGTTTTAACCTATCAGGGCCAAGCAGTTTCTTTATTGCTTAACCAATGAAATCAACAGATTGATATGACACTCCCACATCAATTAAAAAAAATCTAAATGCACAAAACTGACTTTGTTGACTAAAATGGAACAGAAATAAACCTTGAGTGGGAGACCCCAACTCAGAAACTTCCTGCCGCCTGAGTGAGAGAGGACATGAGCATGCTCTCCTACCTGCATCTCCACCACCTTCCCTTTGCTGCTTGGGCTGAGGGACCACTCATAGCTAGTGATGCCATGGTCGTCAGTACTCTGGTTTCCAAAGAGGGTGATGGAGTTCTGAGGCAGGGTGATCACTTGGTTGGGGCCTGCATTGGCCACAGGAGGGTAATCCACAGCTTTGTTCACTGTCAGGCTCGCAGTGGTGGAGTTCGTAGCCCCATCAGAGTCAACGACAGTCAGGCTATTGGAGAGAAGAGTTCAACAGGGAGGTTAAGGGAAAAGGAATAGACCCGGAGGACTGAGTGTCAGTACTGGGCAATACCACGGTGGCAGGAGTTTCCACTCCTCCCCATCCTGTTGGAAAAGCAGGGTGATGTTAGAGACATCTGAAACTGAATGAGGGTTTCCTTGCGCAGGGTGAAGTTCCTAGTGCTTTGGATCTTCTGAACACAGACACAAGCTCTGTAAAGTCTAACCTCCTTGTGTCTCCACACCCATATAAAGAGACTGAGAGTAAACCAAGTTGCCCACAGTTGTGCATCTTGACAGCAGGGGCCTCAGAATTTGTAATCCAGGCCATATATGTCAGCAGCAGCAGACTGTTCTGCTGCCTGTGTGTGCCCATGTGCTAAGACCCTGTAAGTGTTTCAGAGAAACACTAGCTGCCCTTGAATACACAGAGATCTGTCTGCCTCTCTCCTATCTCTGGAGTGCCAGGATTACAGGCACCCAGCACACCTGGCTCAGAAACCCATTCTTAGGAAGGAATAATCCTTGACCTCCATTCCTGCAGAGCTTACAGACAGCACACCTGGGTCTGCGGCAGGCTGTCTACCATGGTTCTGTTTCAGCCATGGGCACATCACAAAAATGGATGTGGACATCCTGGACACAGAGCTCTGGGACAGACCAAGAAGGTTGGCTCCAGCAAGGCAGGAGCTTGAGATGGGAATGAATGCTCCTACGCAACATGCCCACAGTATGTGAGTGAGAAGCAGAATTTGAGAGGGGAAATGTTCTTTTATAAGAGCAGGCTTCCACCTAAACGATGCCTTCCAGCTGAACAGCCTAAAGCTTCTCACACCACCTCAGAATGTGAGTGTAAGCGAGCGGGGAGTTTGGGATCCTTCCATTTGCTGACAGAAAGAGGAAAAGCTCTGAAAAGACATGCCGTTTGTTTAGCTCTCACCAGCAGCCTCAGACACCCCAGCCATCTGCGGGCCTTCCTACCAGCCTTACCTTTCACCTGTGAGCTGCAGAGAACCTGAGTACTGCAGCCTTTCCAAAGAGGCACAGAAACTTAGATACATACACAAGATCAAGTATTGGAAAAGGGCAATCATGGTGTTCGCTTCTTCCCCTGGTCCCCTGACTTTTGTCAGGAGGATTACAGGAGCAATTACAGACATAAAGGCTGTGGTCCTTTGTTCTGACTCACCTGGAAGGGTCCCTGGCTGGCCTTCAGAGTCTTAGACTCAGATGGCACCTGGCTACAGGGTGGGGGCAAGCTAATGTCATGTAAAAGCAGGAGAAGACAAATAAGCAATCAAACAAAAGCAAAATGCTAATCAGGGCCACTCTCATATCACAGATTTAAAAAAAAAAAGAAAGCATATTCCCTATACCCATTTACCCCCAAATTGTAGGTTATCAGTGTGGTTAAAAGCTCAGGCTCTGAGCTAGGCGGTGGTGGTGCACGCCTTTAATCCCAGCACTCAGGAGGCAGAGGCAGGCGGATCTCTGTGAGTTCGAGGCCAGCCTGGACTACAAGAGCTAGTTCCAGGACAGGCTCCAAAAGCTACAGAGAAACTCTGCCTCGAAAACAAACAAACAAACAAACAAAAAAAGCTCAGGCTCTGATGTGGAGTATTTGTTTAATGAGGTAAAGATGTGTTACATTTGCTGTTCCAAAATGGGGCCCATATTTCCACATAGGACCTAAGGAAGCTGAAGAAAGAAAGAAAAGAAAACCCCCAAACAAACAAACAAAAAAATGGAGATGACTCCTTTAAGAGGCTCTACCATACAGCAAACACTTGAGTAGCCAGCACATTAAATAGAAACAAAAAGCTAAGTAAAAATGCTTGCCACCATGAGGGCACCAGCTTCCTAGAGCTGGGGCAGTTAGATGTAGCTCCCAGTTGAAAGCAGCCCTCAATCAACTTCGTAGTACGTAAAGCTTGGCTCTCATGGATCTGAGCAGGATGGAGCCAGTCGTTAGTGCAAATGCCACTTAGCAGTTTAAGGTTTGCCTCACACAACCAGAAAAGGCTGGAGACATGCAGTAACAACAGGTCCAGATGGGAAAAAACTCTAAACCGGAACCAGCTACAGCATGTTTTAAAATGTAAAAGAAAGAAAAAAAAAGGGTATAGACAATCATAGAAAAAATAAATAGTTTATAAATAATAAGGTAAAGACTTTAAAGAGAGAATAAAGTGCCAGGCAGTGGTGGCACACGCCTTTAATCCCAGCACTCGGAAGGCAGAGGCAGGTAAGACCTCTGTGAGTTTGAGGCCAGCCTGGTCTATAGGAGCTAGTTCCAGGACTGGCTCCATAGCTACTGGAAAACCCTGTCTCAAAACACACACACACACACACACACACACACACACACACACACACACACACACACACAGAGAGAGAGAGAGAGA